TGGATTGAGGCTCAATGTCACAAAGACAAAGATTCTCACCACTGGACCAAATGGCAACATCAGGATGGATGGTGAAGAGACTGAGATTGTACACAGCTTTAGTTTGCTTGGCTCCACAGTCAACGCTCTTGGCACCAGTAGCCAGGAAATTAAAAGGCGCATTGCCATGGGAAAGTCTGCTGTTAGGGACCTCTCCAAAGTACTGAAGAGCAATGGTGTCTCTCTGGAGACTAAAGTGCCTCTGATACAGACCATGGTCTTCGCAATCACTTGTTATGCATCAGAGAGTTGGACAATGACCAAAGAGAATAGAAGGAGAATTGATGCCTTTGAGCTGTGGTGCTGGAGAAGAGTATTGAGAATACCATGGACTGCTAGGAAAACAAACAGATTCATCCTGGAAAGGGTTAAACCAGGTGGCTCCTTGGAGGCAAGGATTCTGAGGCTCTGTCTAACATACTTTGGACATGTTGTGAGGAGAGACTGGCCCTTGGAGAAGGACATCATGCTTGGGAGGGTGGAGGGACGGCGCAGGAGGGGAAGGCCCTCTATGAGGTGGATTGATTCAGTGACTGGGGTAATGGGGATGGGAGTGTCTGAGACAGTGCGAATGGCACAGGACAGAGCAGAGTTTAGGGCTGTTGTACATAGGCTCGCTATGAGTCGCAAGCAACTTGTTGGCACATAACAACAACAACAACAATGATGCAGTAAAATCCAAATCAACAACAATAGAAGAAAATCCATAAATAAAAAGAACTCATCATAGATGGCTATGCTAAACAAAGAAACTATTAATATCACACCCAAATAAAAGCTCAATAAGGTAATATCAATAGATTCAGACTTACCAATAACCCTGAATATAAATGCACCATTAAAGAGACAGAGACACATAACAGGGAAAAAGATTCATCTACAAGTTGCCCAAGACTTAGACACAGACATAAATGAGTTAAAAAAAAAAAAGCAAAACAGAAAAATATACCAATCATGAACCAATTAAGACATAGCAAGAATGGCTATATTCATTAATAATAAAATTGATTTTAAATAAAAATCCATCGCAGGATACAAGAAAAAGCATTATATAATGATTAAAGGTCAATATATCAATAGGACATAATAATAATAAATATTGATGCACCCCATGACAGAGCTCAACAGAACTGAAAAGATTAAAAAGACAATCCCAATAGTAGACTTAACACACCATTTTCAATTAAGGGTGGTTGTTATTGTTGTTAGGTACCCGTGAGTAGAGTATGACCCATAGCAACCCTACAAACAAAAGATCTGAACCCTGTTCTATCCTGCGCTATCCTCACACTTCCTGACACAAGAGTCCACTACAGCAGTCACATCAATCCACCTGGTTAAGGGTCTTCCTCTCCTCCATCAACCCTCCACCCATCCCACCATCATGTCCTGCTCCAAAGAATAGCACCTCCTAGCAAAACATCCTAAGTATGTGAGGCAAAGCCTCATCTTTCTTTCTTCCACAGTGCACTGAAGCTGCACCTTTTCCAAGGTATATCTGTTCTACTGGCCGTCCATAGATGTTCAGTGCTCCTCTCCAGCACCACAGCTCAAAGGTATCAATTCTTTTTTTGTCATCCTCATTCCTGTTCAGCTCTCAGATGAACAGCAAGTTAATTGGAAAGACTATGGCCTGAATCAGACACACCTTCATCCTCAAACCGACATCATTACTTCTCAATAATTTGGAGAGGGCTCTAACTGTAGATTTTCCAGTCTCCTTATTTCCTGATTGCTGGTACCAAGGTTGTTAATGTGGATCCAAGCAAGATGAAGCTGTTGACTGTTTCAATTTCCTCTCCATCCATCAGGACGCTGCCCATCAGTCCTGTGGTAAGAATTTTTGTTTTCCTGACATTGAGACACATTCTTTGTCTTCTGTAACAAGTGCTTCAAGTCCTCCTCACTTTCAGCAAGTAAGGTTGTATCATCTGCATAACACAAGTTATTGATGAGTCTCCTTCCAATCCTGATGCCACACTCCTCCTCATGGAGTCTAACCTCTTGGATAATTTGCTTAGCATACAGATTGAATAGGTACTAAGATAGAATACAACCCTGACACACTCCCTACCCAATTCCAAACCATGCAGTGCTCCCCCTGCTCCATTCACACAACCACCTCCTGGTTCAGGTTGTTAGTTCCCCACAATTACAGAGCACAAGTGTTCTGTAATTCTCATTCTTCTCAATGTCAGTCACAACTTGTTATGATCCACACAGTTAAACACCTTTGCATAGTCAATAAAGCACAAATACACATTCTTTGGTATTCCTTATTTTCAACCAGGATCCATCTGAGATCAGCTGTGCTATCCCTATTGCCACGGCCTCTTCTAAATTCTGGCAGTTGCCTACCTATGGATTGTTCCAGTCAGTTCTGGATTATCTTCAGCAGTATTTTGCTTGCATGTGATAGCAATTATATTTTTCAATAATTTCCACATTCAGTTGGATCATCTTTCTTGGGAATGGGAACAAATATGGACCTTTTCCTTCTGCAGTCCTCCAAATTTCCTGCACAGACTGGACAGCTCAGGAGGACAAAGCAAAGGATTATAATAGAATATGCAGAGAGCTGGGATTGAAGAATAAAAAGGGAAGATTCATTCTGCATTTCTCAAGCTGAAAGAACTGAAAAACAAATTTATGGCTCATGTTGCAATACTGAAAGATACTATGGGCAAAATACTGAATGACCCAGAAAGCATCAAAAGAAGAGGGAGGGAATACACAGAATCACTGTACCAGAAATAATTTATTAACACTAAAAAATTTCAGGAAGTAACATATGAACAGGAGCTAATGGTAATGAAGGAGGAAGCAGAAGCTGTATTGAAAGCACTGGCAAAAAAATATGGCCCCAGGAATCGATGGGATACCAAGTGACTTGTTTTAATTAACAGATGCAGCCTTGGATGCACTCAATTAAGGGTATAAGAAGAAAAAAAAAAAGAAATTCTACAAAGAACTTAATAACATAATAAATTGACTCAACCTCAGTGGCATAGATAAAACACTTTGCCCTCAGTGGAATCATATTCATATGCGCCTCCAACAAAAGGAACGTTCTCCAGAATAGGCCATCCTATAAGCACAAAAGCAAGCTTCCCAAAAGTCAAAACCATTAAATAATATATCTTCTCTGCTCATATATTATAAAACTAAGAGTCACCACCAACAAGAAGAATGAAGAAAAATATCAAATATATGGCAACTGAATGACACTTTAATTAATAAGTACAGGATAACAGAAGAAATTTAAAATAAAAGTTAAAAATTCCTATAATCAAATGAGAATGAAAACAATACTGAAACCTTGGGTTTGGGGGCACAGCACAAGCTGTGCTGAGAGGATAGTTTGTAACAATAAATGTACCAGTCAAAAAAGAAAACAAGCTCAAAATTGGTAACAATTCAACAACTCAAACAAATTGGAAAAGACCTGGAAAAGCAGCTGACATTTATCAAAAATAAGTTAATAAAAAAAGATTAGAACAGAAACAAATGAGACAGAAAGGGAAGAACAGAAATAACCACCAAAATTAAAAACTGGCTATTTGAGAAAAGTAATTAAATCAATGAACCACTGACAGTCAAACTAATGGGGAAAGAAGGAGAACAACAAAATAACTAAAATAATAAATGAGAAGGCACTATATCATAACCAAATGATTTAAAGGATTACAACAGACGATAAAGATCTTAATAGAATGAAAAGATACACTCCAACAAATAAGAAAATCTAAGAGAAATGGACAAATTTACACACACACACACACACACACACACACACACTACTGACTTAATACAAACTGAGCTAGAAAATTTGAACAGACCCATAACAAATGAAGGAATTAAAGAGATCATTAGAGAAAAAAAGAGAATCCCAAGATGGAAAAACCCTGGCCCGGTCAACCTGACCAAACATTCAGGGAAGAACCGACACCAATTCTGCTCAAACTATTTCAAATCACAGAAAATGAATACCACCGTCTCAGACAAAGCCAGTATCAATGCAATACATCCCATAAATAGAGGAAAATAATCACATGATCATCTCAATCCATGCCAATTTGACATAATCTAATACCCTTCTCCTGGTAAGAATGTTCAGCAAAATAGAAAGGGCATGCCTAGACATAAGGAAGCCCTTTGGCTGCACTTCCCTCTAATACAGCTATCTCTGTTTCTTCTCTTGGTAGTTCATGGGATAGCCAATGCTCTTCTCCAACACTACAACTCAAAGGCATCAGTAATTCTTCTGTCATCTTTATTCACTCTCCAGTAAAAAGACCAGGAAAAGATAGGAAAGTGTGGGAAGTCACATTCCTGGACAGAAAGAATAACCCTCCTACATGTGGGGACCAGCATGCCACCTGTCAAACACTGATGTCCACAGCACAGTGGGTAGGCCCAGGAAACTTGCCTACTCAGAAAGAAAAGTCAAATTAACTCCAGAAATGATTCTCATGGCTGCCATATGCTACTACCTCCTGGAGATCTTTTTAAAAGTGATTATAATGTCCAGGTCTCACAAACTGATTATCAGATTCCGTTACAAGAGCACAGATTGGTTAGACACGAAAGAGCTTAGAGCACCTAATCAAATATCCAAACACGTATGTTTTTGGGAATGTTAAGAGTGCAAACTAAGCCTAAAAAAATTAACATAATTTTTAATTTCTTAGAATTTCTATATTACATTGCCATAAATATGAATAAAATAAAAAACAAGTATGCTCAGTAAAATGAAATATGACATTTGAAATTGTTTCATCATAATTTGCTTTGCTCAAAATATTCACATATACAACTAAAATATTTACTTGTTAGTAAGAGATTACCAATAAACAGCATTTCTTACAAATTCAGAGGCTTTAAGTGACTCAGAGAAGGAGGAAAAAAGCAGAAAGAAAAGTCTGCCTTTCCCGCCCAGAAGTCAATGAAGCAGCGCTCACCTGGAAGTCATTCTTTACTGCCTGGAGGTCATACAGGAAGAACTTCTGACAGTGCGGCAGGAGCAGGGCCAGTAAAAGGGACAGGGCAGTGGGGACCAGCAGAAGACTCTTGGACAGAGGTGCCTTGTCTGGAAACAAAAAGAAAATAACTTTCAGTAGGACTATTCCTAGCATTTCTAAAGAGACATTGATGAAAAGCAAGAGAAATGTTCCTTTCTCCTTCTTCCTCTGACATGTTTGTCTTTAGGACCAGTAACTCAATTCCTCTGGGTGCAGTTATGGTTAGGAAGTTTCCATACCTTGGCCCCCAATGACTCTGTCAAACACGTGGATATAATTATAATATACACTAAGAGAAATGTAAAAATATCATCTGCTAAATACATTCATGGTCACAAAGGTAGTCTCTTTTCACCTTTCCTTATGTATTGATCTCACTTTAGAAATACTTCTTTTGGCAAGCTCTGGTGGCCTAGTGGCCAGAAGCTGCACTGCATTCCCAGAGGTGAGCGGTTTGAATCCACCAGATGCTCTGCTGGAGAAGGAGGAACAACCTCCTCCTGTACTAGTCCTATCTGATTTGATGGTACACCCACAAAAATGGAAAAAAAAACAAACTTCTTTTGAATGAGACTGAAGACCAAGTCCAGAAACTATGAAATTTTGCAATTCTGTTCTTACATTTATTTTCAAAATATCAACCTGAAAAGGTAAATGGCCAATGAGAATCTAAACACCAATGTAATTCACTGGCAGGTGCTCCACTCTCAAATGAGACCAAAGCTAGACGGAGTCAGTAACTTCACACAACACCTATCAGAAAATGGTCACTAAGGAATAATGAGATAGAGGGGTGTATTTTCTATCAAATCAGCCAGTCAGTTCCAAGCATGGAAAATTTCCAGATAAAGGACATTAAATAAAAATGGGCTGAAAATGTGAACACTGCTAAACTCAAATGCTAAAATCTGTTGAGTTTCTCTCTCAGGAAAACAACTGCAGTTTCAGTCATTTTACGTCCAACAGCCTGACTCAGAATTCTGTATACATTTTGCCCTTCCCACTATATTACAGATTCCTGAAGGCAGACTGCATTCCTTTACTCTTCAATATATGTGCCGTAACGCTGATAGCACCTTGCACATAGGAAATGTCCAGTCAGACAACAGGCAAGACCACAGAAAAGTGTCTGTGATGGCAACACCCTCGCATTATACAAGGTTCAGTTTAATCATACTCCGAAGAAATCCCTGGGGGAGGTTACAGTTGCTAGTGTGATTATTACTTGAGTATATAAAAATAGCCAAATTGTTTCCTCTCTACTAAGGTTTCACAAACACACGAAAGAGAACCCAGAGTAGCAGGGGCATGGCTGCACACTGGTGAGAGCCAGGGTACAACCAAGGCTTTATCACATCTAAAAGCCAACAGAGTGCCCCGGCCCTCACAGAAGCAAGTTTCCCATTGCTCAATACCGGAAAAGAAGTACGTGAGCCAGTACAGCAATGAACTTGATCCACCTAAATTCTATTGTAAACAAGCTAAAGTTTAATTTGCCTAGACTGTAAATTTAGGAGAAAAAAAATCTGCCTCAATATTTTATGATAAATAAAAAATATACAGTTACAGGGAAAATGCTGCTACTCTCACAGCTCCATCACAACTACTCCAGGAATATGATCTTCCTTCATTAAAGGCAGGGCTCAAACTTCTGGTTGCCCAGCAGCTACCAACTCATAACTGACGCCCCAGCAGGATTTGGGGATCTCATCCTTCTTTCCCAAGGAGCCGCTGATGTTGGAACACCTGACAGGTCACCTTTGGGCCTGCAGTGTGACCCTCTGTGGAATCTGTCACTAACGCACTAAAGGCAAGGTCTGTATTATTCTGACAGGGCCTATGTGGAGCAGGATATGAACCAAACTACTCTTCACAGCAATTGATATTTAACACTTTCTTCACAAGACTTTCCTTTCGCCAAACCTGTTCAAAATGCAAATTGAACAAAGCATTCAAGCAGCTGGACTTTATAGGAAGAAGAATGTAGTATGCAGAGGATACAACCTCACTTTCTGAAAGTGAGGTGGACTTGAGGCACTTGCTGCAGAAGATTAAAGACCACCATCTTCCAAATGGATTACATCTCAACCTCAAAAACCCAAAAATCTCCCCCACTGGGCGAACATGCAACATCATGATAGACTAAGACTGGCACTGTCAATGTTTTCATCTTTCTTGGCTCCATAATCAATATTCTTGGTACTATTAGTCAGGAGATCAAAAGACAAAGTACTGGGAAAGGATCAAGGTAGGGATCTCTCCAATGACCTGAAATTCAGCAGTCTGTCAGCTTAAAGACTTAAGGTGTGCCTGATTCAAGCCATGGTCTTCCCAACCTCCTGCTATGCATCTGGAGAGCTGGATAATGAATAAGAAGGACAGAAGAATTGCTGCCTTTGAGCTGTGGTGTTGGAGATGGAATACAGAATAGCTCATGAACTTCCACACAAAGGACAAAGAAATGTGTCTTGGACAAAGTGCAGCCAGAGTGCTCCTTAGAGACATGATGGTGAAGCTTCATCTCACATACCTGGAGCATGTTGTTAGGAGAGGCTATTCCTTGGAAAGAGACATCATGGTTGGAAAGGTGGAGAGTCAGTAAAAGAGAAGCAGCCTCCCACAGCGACGGACTGAAACAGTAGCTGTAGCAATGGACTCAAATGTACCAGGAACGATAAGGATGGTGCAGGATAGGGCAGGATTCAGACATGGTGTTCGTAGGGTTGCTAAGAGTCATACCCAACAACACTTAACAACATCAGTCAGTTCTTAACACTTTCCTCAGAGGACGATCTAGGTGGGAGGGGCAGGGTAACGTTTCTTCCTTGTCTGCTGCTGGGCACCTCAATGGTACAGGAAAGGGTCTCAAACAGCAGAGCTGAGAGCTTGCACTGTGCATGCATGGTCTCAAAACGCAGTATGCCAACAGTGACCATGACTGTACTGTCATTTTCTAATTAGTAAGTATTCTTTCCCATTTCTTATTTTATACTGTATCTTGCTTCCCTTCTCCTAACTTCCTGTTACCAAATGAATACATTAATAAGTTGTCTTGGTATTTTCAAGCACTGTATTACTATTATTAAGCACCTGTGACACACTGTGAAGGAGCCCCCCTGGCACAGTCATTTGCATGTTGGACTGCAAACCCAAAGCTGGCTCTTCCTCAGGGGGGACAACGAGCAGTCTCCTCCAGTGGAGACGCAGAGCCTTAGAAGCTCAGAGCTCGGCAGGTCCCTGTGAGTCACAGTCGACTTGGCCGCAGTGGGTTTGTGGTGGGTTTATATATACGTACACACACCCACACACCCCCCACGTAGGGAGTCATTAGTGGAACAGTGGTTAGCTGCTCGGCTACTTGCTAAAAGGTGGGTGGTGTAACCCCACCCTTGCTCTGCAAAAGAAAGTTGCAGCAGTCTGAGTCAAGACCTAAAGTCACAGAGACATTATGGGGCAGTTCTACTGTGTCCTACAGGGTCACTGTGCACTGGACTCCACCCACTCACCACGGATTCCGACACGCCATGCAAGGATCCTGGGAGCACAGCAGTTAGCACGCAGCAGCAAGTGAGTGACAGGTCAGCACTGAGAACTCAGCAGCAGCTCTCTTCAGAAGAAAAGACTGACAATCCATGTCCATCAAGAACGGAGTCTAGAAAGCCCTATGACGTAGATGCACTGTGTCCAGTAGGGTTACTGCAAGCAGGAATCAACTTGATAGCACAACAGTAAGGGATGCTACGCATTTTTCTAGGCCCTGGGGAAGCAGACAAACTTTCTATCTTTTTGGTGCTTTGTTTTCTAATCAGAAGAAAGAAGAAAATCAAACAAGGTAAAAAGTGTATCACGTCAGAGAGAAATAAGTGCTGCAGAGAAAACGTAAGCCGTGTGAAGTGTGCGGCTGTTTAACCCACCACTTATTTCCTGGCAGAGCTCTGGAGCTGTGTAGTTCACTGTCAGTTGCACCACTAAACCCAGAGGCCACAGGTCTCTGGCAGTTGGAGTCTACCAGCAGTTCCGTGAGAGAGAGACAGAGAATCTCCTCCCATCATGACGGGCAGCTTGAAAACCTGACTGGGGATGCTAGGACCTGGAAGCAGCTCTACAGCGGCAGGACGGGGGCTCAGTGTGGTGAGAAAGAGATCAAAAAAGGTCCTTCACATAGGGTGGGATATAAGATTTGGGGGAAGAGCACACCTGAAGCAGGAACTAAAAAAAAAAAAAAAAAGCTTGAAAACAAGAACATGCCTAGCATGTAAGAAGCAGAAAAGTAGCCAATGCAGACAAAAGCTGAAAGGGCCATAGCCATTGAGGAAAGAACAATGCCAGAGAAGCGGGAGTGGTACAAGCCAGGGTGCGGGCAGTGCAGGGGTCTGAAGGCCAGAATTGGGACGTTCACATTTACTCTTAAAAGTATATGGGGTGTTCCTTGGGGGGCGGGGGGGGGGTAGTAAAGGGAAAACATGATCAGATATATTGTCAAACAAACGCTTGCTCGAGGGGAAACAAACTCCCGGAAAGCAGGAGCAGAAGGAAGACTAGTCCGGATGATGCTAACAACACACCTGGCAAAAGCCAATGACGGCCTGGATGGGGTGGTTCGGACGAAGGTGGTGAGACATGATTAAACAGGATTTGCTAAATGACTGGTGTAATAAAGGAGGTGAAAGGAAGAGTCAAAGATGGTAACAAAGTTTTTCTTTAGCTATTAGAATGTTCATAGCAACATTATTCACCACTGGCAAGGATATGGAAACAGCCCAAATGTCCAACCACAAAAGAATGGATTGGTAAATTATGGTACATTCACACAATGGAATACTATGCAGCACACAGGAGCAATAACTTTGTAAATTATTACCTAACTTGGGAGGGACTGGAGAGCATTATGCTACACAAACTAACTCAGTCCTATAAGTATAAATATTATATAAGACCATTATTATAGAACGAGTATAAGGATCCAGGAGGGGTGGGAGAAGCTGGAAGCAGAGGGAAGTGGATATACAGGGGGAAGAGGGGATTAATCATTGGGTTGTAAAATTTGATGAGGGGGTGAGGGAAATTG